TACTCGGGAGGCTGAGGCAGTAGGATCACTTAAGCCCAGGAATTTGAGGTTGCTGTGAGCTAGGCTGACGCTACGGCACTGTAATCCAGGCAACAGAGCGAGATTCTGTCTCAAAAAATATATATATTAAAAAAAAAAATGGCTAGGCATGGTGGCTCACGCCTGTAATCCTAGCACTCTGGGAGGCCGAGGCGAACAGATAGCTCAAGGTCAGGAGTTTGAAACCAGCCTGAGCAAGAGCAAGACTCTGTCTCTACTAAAAACAGAAAGAAATTAGTTGGCCAACTAAAAATATATACAGAAAAAATTAGCTGGGTGTGGTGGCGCATGCCTGTAGTCCCAGCTACTTGGGAGGCTGAGGCAGGAGGATCATCTGAGCCCAGGAGCTTGAGGTTGCTGTGCACTAGGCTGACGCCATGGCACTCTAGCCAGACAACAGAGACTCTGTCTCAAAAAAAAAAAAAAAAAAAAATGTTGTCTGGTAAACAGCTGACATTCCATATTTATCTTAACCCCATAAATTTCCAAGGAAATACTGCTGAGAAAGAGTAAACCCAAGATTATTTTTCCCCAGAGACAGAGATGGGTTTTGTTAGCTCTTTCCCCCCTAATGATTAGATGGAGAAAAAGTTGAATTCACACCTCATATCCAAAAAGTAATTTCAATTAAAGACCTAAATGTAAATGGTAAAACTATAAAATTAATAGAAGACATAAAAAGCACAAATAATTGGAGGGATTTCTATTCCATGAAGGAGACTAAAGATAAGAATTAACAAATGACAAGATTTTTTTTTTTTTTTTTAAACAGGGCCTCACTCTATTGCCCAGGCTAGGGCACAATGGCATCATCATAGCTTATGACAGCCTCAAACTCCTGGCCTCACTCAATCCTCCTGCCTCGGCCTCCCAAAGTGCTGGGATTATAGGTGTGAGTCACTGCACCTGGCCAACTAAGTTATTTCTAACATCTGAACCTGAAAAGGGAATGATATCTAGAATATATAAAGAATTTCTTGCCCTGTAATCAGCAAGAAAGAGAAAAACCAATAAACAAAGGGGCAAATCATAAGTATAGGCAAGCCACAGAAAGGAAAATCAGAATGACTAAAAACCATATACTTTCCCTCATTAGTAACAGGATAATGCAGATTAAGAAAAATTCTACATCAGCATGCTTCACAATTAGCTTAAAAAAGAAAAAAAAAAAAAAAGGAAAAATTCTACAATTTTACACACATTAATCAGCAAAAATCAGAAGCTTCTACCGAAATGTAGAGAAAATGACACCCTTATGTCTTCTTGGTGGAAAGGAAAATGGTACAGCCATTCCTTAGAACAATCCAGCATTACTTAAATATGCATATACCTAAAACCCTAGCCATTCTAGTCTAGGACATGTATATTAAAGAAACTAAAGGGCAGGTTCATAGAAGACATATACAAGCTTATAGAAGTGGGAACAGCTGGGAAGAACTGAAAAAGGAAAACATAAGCTACAGTATGTGAATACAATAGAATACTATGTACCTGTCAGAAGCATGTTATATAAGTAACATGGGTAGGTTTTAAAAACCTAATATTTTGTGAAAGTTAGAAGCAGAATAAAACTTATACCACAGTATCTTTTGTATAAAATTTAAAAGCTTATATTAATACAAAACAAATATTAGTTTTTCAATGAAATATACTCAAAATATGGAAGATGGTTTAGAAGGACAAACATTTAGGGATGTGGAGTATGAAATTGCAGGCAGGAAATGAATGAAAACTAGTAACATAAAATAAAACAGAACAGAAACAAGCATAGCCTTCTAGACCAGTGATATTGGTATCATTAATGAAGAGTAAGATCAATGAGTGATTCAATTCAGAGCACCTGAGGTCCTTAAAAAACAAAAGTTATTTTACATAAGCACTTTTAGGACTTAAGTTAGATTAAACATTATTTCTTGAAATGTCAAAAGCTATAAACGGTACATAATATAGTAAGCACCTCACCCACACAATTCACGAGTTAGCTAAGCTTAAAAGAAACAGTTCATTTTCCCAAATAAGATAAACTAAATAAAAAACTATACAATGTAAATGGATATTTCAAGGCAATACTAAGAAAACAAAATTTCTTGTGTTGAACAAATATTCCAATGTGTTTTTCTAAGATTGTTCTAGTATTCAGGAAAATAATTTAAAATTATATTTTGTGTAAAGTTATAAGCAAACTAATTCTAATTATTAAATATATGTGAATCTATCATCTTGTAATTGCCTAAGGAAAAAAAAATATATATATATGTGAATCTGAAATTCCAGACTGAGAGACTCTGTGATACATTTACAGAATTTAAGAAGTTTAAGTATACATGGAAAAATTTACAAAACATACAACTATCCTAACATCTTACTTTTTATTGTGCTACATATACATTTTTTCAATCTGTTTCCATATCAATGTGCTATATATTTCTAGAAAGCACTCTTATTTGAGGCAGATATAGCAGCTATCCCCAGTGTTATCAACAAGGAAACTGAAAAATAAATAATGGAACTTAAATCTTATAAGTAGTGATGGCCAGGCCAGGCGTGGTGGCTCACGCCTGTAATCCTAGCACTCTGGGAGGCTGAGACGGGAGGATTGCTCGAGGTCAGGAGTTCAAAACCAGCCTGTGCAAGAGCGAGACCCTATCTCTACTATAAATAGAAAGAAATTAATTGGCTAACTAATATATATAGAGAAAAAAATTAGCCGGGCATGGTGGCGCATGCCTATAGTCCCAGCTACTCAGGGGGCTGAGGCAGTAGGATTGCTTGAGCCCAGGAGTTTGAGGTTGCTGTAAGCTAGGCTGATGCCACGACACTCACTCTAGCCTGGGCAACAAAGCGAGACTCTGTCTCAAAATAAATAAATAAATAAATAGTGATGTCCAGACTAGAATCTAGGTCCCCCCAAATTGAGATTTGAGGTCTTATTTTTTTTAACTCACTTAAATAAAATGCTGAAACACGAAAATTTATAGTCCTCTTAGCTTTTCCTTTCTTAACTGATAGAATATAATCAGAAAAATTTTAAAAACATGTTCTAGTTTTAGTTAGTAATTTATGTAAAGTAGTACTCCTTAAATAAGTTGCTAAAAATATTGGAGTCTTGAACATCACATTTATTTATTTATTTATTTATTTATTTTTGAGACAGAGTCTCACTTTCTTGCCCAGGCTTGAGTGAGTGCTGTGGCATCAGCCTTGCTCACAGCAACCTCAATCTCCTGGGCTCAAGCAATCCTACTGCGTCAGCCTCCTGAGTAGCTGGGACTACAGGCATGCACCATCATGCCCAGCTAATTTTTTGTATATATATTTTTAGTTGGTCAATTAATTTCTTTCTCTTTTTAGTAGAGACAGGGTCTTGCTCAGGCTGGTTTCGAACTCCTGACCTTGAGCAATCCGCCTGCCTCGGCCTCCCAGAGTGCTAGGATTACAAGCGTGAGCCACAGCGCCTGGCCTTGAACGTCACATTTAATTCAACTGAAAAACAGTATTCTAAGGCTCTCATGATAAAAAAGATTACAAAATTTCTCTGTTTATTCTAGCCCTAAATTTCTTTTCTAGAATTTTAATAGAAAAAGAAATTTTTAGACACAAACCGTCACCAGTCAGATAATGTATATTGTAGTTTAGCATATTTGACTAAACAATAAACACCCTTAGAAAAGTGAAACTGATTTATCATTTATTCTATGCTATTATTAGTACTCTTCTCCCATACACCTTAAATAGTAGTCACAAATTCTATCTTGATGACTAATCTTTTCTACCATAAATAGTGCTGATTCAACATTTCACTTCTACTTTACTTCTGGCATTCAATTTAGATATCTCAATACCAAATTTAATATTTGTTTTATCAAAAATTTGCTTCAAGAACAAAATTCCCATAAATTATTCTCTAACAAATCAAAGCAGAACCTTTAATTGTAGAACACAAATGGAAAATAATACACAAGAAACTTTATTTCTTCAACTTGAAGGCTAAAAATAGAAAATTGAAAACTAGAAAAATAGGCTTAAGATAAATTTTACAAGTATTTTTTTCTGCAGTGTCAAGATTTCTATTTTAAATGATGTTACTTATTATATTGTTATTTTAAAGGAAGGCTTTTCTAAGAAGCCTTTAGTAAAGTTCTATGTGGTGTTCCGAAATGTTCTAGTCTGAACTGTTCTAGAAGTGCTTATTTGGTGAACATAAGAAGTCTTTAAGAAGAAAGAAAAAAATACTAAATCACAATCTTTATCAAGTAATTCAGAGTTTTCAACAATATTGTAAATGTATTCTTATAAACTTGTATTTCTGATAGTATTAACCTGTAGTATGATCACAGCAAGTATACGAATTTTCCAATATTCTGGGGAAATATTCAGTGTACTGAAAGTTGACTGCATTTAAAATCATTATGAAACAAAAAATATGCCAAACAGCATTATCATGTTAAATGGCGAGTGAACATTTTATTTACAATTCTGTAGTAAAAACTAAAAGAAATGTGTAACCAATGGGACATATTTTCAATGTTTACAGAGCATCCTGAATATGGAATTTTAAAAGTAATTAAAATAGGTAGAATTAGAAATCTATGAAAAATTAAAAATCATTACTGCTAGAACTGATATCATTAAGTACACACTCTAAGGACTTCAGTCTTGGTTGGAGGAAAAGAAAGTAAACCTTTCATATATTTTGATTTTTCCAGGATGGAAACTCGTCATATGGTAGAGATACTAAGTTATATGATCCTCAGAAGAAATGGAAACAATTTATAAGAAAGATAAATTTCAGACTCACCAAAACTAGTAAAACAATAGAGGAAACTATTGGGGCTAAATACTTGTCATTCTAGAACCATCTCTTTAGAATGCTCCTGGTGACCTTTTCAAGATAATTTTTTTAAAATACAATAAAGGATAATAGTATCAATTGTGGGTGAAAACACAAACCCAACACTGCATATAATACAGATCAGAAAATTTTATTATTCAATTTACTTAAGATTGTAAAAAAAACTAGAATTTTTGCCTGTTCTCATATTTATGTTATCATTCAATTTCTGAAGATTACAAGTAAATTAATTCAGAAGTTTAAAAAGCATTACTGATCCCTATTGTAGCAAACTGTATATTCTATAGTTCATCAATCTTAACTCTTTCAATAAACCTAGGGATTTAAATAAGTCAAAAATGAAAGCAGTCTCCAAAATTAAAATCTAGGTGAAATGTCCTCATGGTCCAATAACTTGTAAAATGTGAACAGGTCACCAGACCAACATATTAGTGTATAACTTTAATAATTTCTAGCAGCAAAACACCTGGAATAGCCAATAACAAATGGTTTCATTGGACTGTAGATTAACTTCTTTCAGAGTAATAATTTTAAAAAGAACTCTAAAGTATTGTTCAACTGGAAGCAAACATGAAAGATATCAAAGATCTTGTTTATCACCACCTTTCCCAGTGGAATCAGGTGCAACTGGAACCTTATTAGTTTCAACAAAAACAGATTCAAAGGCAGCTTCCTGTTCTTCCAAAGAATCAGCAGCCGTGGCTCCTTTAATTAGTGTTGGGTTGGTAAAAGATTGTTGCTGCTTGGAAATTTTACTGGATTCCATCGTCTTCCTACCTCTTCTTTTACCAAGAATTTTGACATAATTTGCAGGTATAAGTCCTGTTGTTTGACCATCAAGACTAGCCAGAAGCCAACCACGCACTCTGGGTTGTTGTTCTGATGGAAAAAAAGACAGCCTAGTAATTAGAACATACTTTGGAGGTCCAACAGAATATTGACAATAAAATATATTACATAAAATCTGTGTTACATTTACATAATAGAATATATAAACAAACAGTACATGAATGTATACTGAAAATGAAATGCTGAGTGAACTTAACAGTTCCAGGGTCCATTCCTATAATTTATATTTTTTATTTTATGCTTCAACTAGTATCAATTTGTTTCATATTTAATTTGGAATCTCAATATGTCAAGCTAGAAATAAGTATAGAAAACATATACTTTTATGCAATCACCTTTCTTTTTCTGTCTTTTCCTTTTTTTTTTTTTTTTTGAGACAGGGTCTTGTTCTTTCTCCTGGGCTAGAGTGCAGTGGTGTCATCATAGCTCACAGCAACCTCAAACTCTTGGGCTTAAGCAATCCTCCTGCCTCAGCCTCCCAAGCAGCTGGGACTACAGGCCCATGCTGCCACACCCAGCTAATTTTTCTATATTTTTGTAGAAGTAGGGTCTTGCTCTTGTTCAGGCTGGTCTCCTGGCCTTATACTTACATAAGCCTCAGCCTCTCAAAGTGCTAGGATTACAGGTGTGAGCCACTGTGCCTGGCCTGCAGTCATCTTTCCTTGTATACTTTTGGCCAAAATATAAAATCATTCCATATGACTGTAATAAACAATCCTGAAGATAGTGAATGCTAATTTGAATCCAAGATTGGCAAAAAATTTAAGACCCCAGTTATCTCTAGTCACATAACAAAAGTTAAAGGCAATACTCTAAGCTTAGAATAGGAAAGATTATTGAATATGTTCAATATTCTATGACATTTTCCCACATATTTTATCCATGTCTTCAAAATACTGTTTAACAGTTATAATTTTAGTTCAACATTATGACTAAGGCACAATATAAGACTTTTTTTGTTTAACATTCTATAATAAAAGGATGAAAATAAATCAATCATGTCTGTGAATGATTTTATTCTAAATGCTCAAACATACTTTTCTTGGGCAATGGAGGAAAGCGATGAAGCAAAGCCAAAGGGTTAAGAGGGACTATTGCAAAATAATGAGATACAAAAATTTTTCTAAAACATTATACTTGAAAGAAACATCTGACCTTCTTTATTCTTTATCTAGATTAATTAAAACTAATTATCTGTGTTGCCTCTGTCTCTAACAATAAATCTTAAAAAGAAATCATTCTTTCAAAATCCAAAGTAGTAAACTGCTATTTTCACTAGAAGAAAAAAACAAATATAATATCTAAAAGCCTAAGGTTTTCTTCCCCATTCCTTAAGACAGGGTCTTGCTATCTTGTCCAGGTTGGAGCCCAGAGGCTATTCATAGGTGCATAGCACATTACAGCCTCCAACACCTGGCCTCAAGCAATCCTCTTACCTTAGCCTCCCAAGTAGCTGGCTATAGATGTGTACCACCGCACCCAGCTGAAGCCTAGGTTTTATATAAGAAGGAATGTGGCAGATTTAGCAATTTGATCCAAAATTTTTCAAAGTTTTCAATTATTTACACATAAAACTAATGATTTGAACATTGAAGGTATTTTCCCTATTGTAGAGTGACTAAAATAAAGCTAAATCTTCCATTAACAGAGCCTCCCATGAAGGAGTTAGCCAGAGTGATTAACAGCATAGGCTTTGAAGTCAGACAAACCTAGATTCATAGTTCAGCTCTGTGATACTGAACAATTTACTCATTTTGAGTCTCAGTTTCCTCCTGTGTAAAGGAAGGACAAGATAATAGTACCACTTGATAGTATTATTGTAAAGGTCAAATGAAATATGTAAAATATAGTACCTTTTACATAGTAAGTATTCTATAATTGACATCTGTTATGGTTACTAGTACCTTTACCAATGAAATGTAACTTTTTGCAATAAATCTGAATCCCAACAAAATATACACACACACAAAAAATCCACAAAAATCCTGATAATCATTACTGGGGAAAGGTGAAGGAAAAGGTCATTTTGCCTGGAGTCATTAAAAACTATTTGTGACTTGGTTCAAAAATAAGCCTGAGATGTATATAAATTTCTTGCTAAGGGTCTATAATCCTTTCTGACAATAATTGCTAAAATATTTATCATAGAGTTTCAGTAAACACTATTCAAGTAATAAAGCAAGCAATACCAGTCCCAGTAATCAAGGACACATAGGGATGCTTAGATGATGCTGTTAATAGATTCCTTTGGTTTATTAGATTTATTACATTTAGTACTTACCTCATGTTTTTCTGTTGGGATTAATGGAGTCTGTAATTCAAGTGTTTTGAATTTAGAAGAGGCTATATAAACAAAGACTTTCCTTATCTCAGTAAATATTATTGGAACAACTCTGATGGGGCATTTCTCCCTGACTCCCTCAGATTTGGAAATCTAAATTGACACAAAAGATTCTAATAATCACCTCAAAGTTAACTAACAATGAACCAGATCTCTTGTTGTTGTTTTTAACATTATCTTTATAAATATTAAAAATTCACAGATAATTTCAACTTATTCATAATTTGTTACCTTTGAGAGCTAAGTTGAGCATATCACCAGCCCGGAAAGAAATTTCTTCTTCAGATACAGCAACAAAATCATATTCTGCTCTAGCAACTACATGGTCATCCTCACCACTTGCCCAGTTGATATTGTCTATAAGCCAAATCAAGAATTAAGATTAGGTTAGTAAAATTTATAAAAGAAAAATGCAAGTATTTCCCTGGCTATGGTTTACAAACTGCATAAATTTATTTACCAAACGTCCTCCCCTCCCAAGTAAATTCTATAGTAAATACTATGTTAAATCAACCAAACATTCACTAATGAACTTTTTCCTTTTCTTTGAGCTCCAAATTTCAGTTCCCTTACTTTAAGCCAGGCGTTGGCAAATTTTTTCTGTAAAGGATCAGATAGTAAAAATTTAGGTTTTGCAGACCAAGAGGCAAAATAAAGGATATTGTGTAGTTACTCATATAACAAGAGAAAACAGTTTCCATTAATTTTTTTATTAATAAAATTCAAAATGTGGCCAGGCGCAGTGGCTCATACCTGTAATCCTAGCACTCTGGGAGGCCAAGGTGAGCAGATAGCTCAAGGTCAGGAGTTCGAAACCAGCCTGAGCAAGAGCAAGACCCCAACTCTACTAAAAATAGAAAAATATTAATTGGCCAACTAAAAATATATAGAAAAAATAGCTGGGCATGGTGGCGCATGCCTGTAGTCCCAGCTACTCGGGAAGCTGAGGCAGAAGGATCGCTTGAGCCCAGGAGTTTGAGGTTGCAGTAAACCATGATGACACCACTGTACTCTAGACTGGGTGACATAGTGAGAGCCTGTCTTAAAAACATAAAACAAGAGACCTGCGGACACCAGCCCAGAGACGGCCACTGCCAGTGAGTGGTAAACCTGTAGCAGACGTGGCACCAGTCTCCCAACTCCCCCGGGGCACCTCCGTATGCACAGACCCCAGCCACACGGCAGGCACCATATTGCTTCATTCTCCCCTACCCTGTCCCTATCCACGGCTGCCTAGAGGGACAATATAGCTACCAGCCGGAGGCACCTCCAGGGAATGGGACCTTCCCTTTTGGGGCCCTACAGCTGACTGAGGGGAACTCAGACATGGAGCTCCCTACCTGCCAACCCTCCCAGGTGCTGCTGGCCAAGTGATCCCAGGAGAACAGGGCAAACCCTGAGGCTGAGAGACATGGACCCAGCTTGGGCTCCCTGTGGGTGAATTAGGACTGGCACTCCTCTCCCTGGTGGGGTTAGGGATTGAACTCCGGGGCCCAGAGGTCAGACCTGCAGACCAGATCCAAGACGCAGATCGCCGTGCACAAGGTCTCACATTGCGCCCCGCGGCAGTACAGAAAGGGACGCCGTGGAACAGCCTACCCTGAGGGTGGTGTGGGTGCCTTTCAGGGGCAGTGATCAGCATCTTGAAGGCAACCCTCCTCCCCCAAAGAGGGGCAGTGCCGCTCAGCCCCCACGGCGGTGGGATCCTAACGCAGGCGGAATAGGTCCCAGATGGCATCAACAGCCGGGGGAAGGCCCGGTGGGCGTGAGGGTTGGCCCTCCTTGGTGGAGGCCCAGGAGTGCCGCACGGACAGACTTGGGGAGGGGTGGAAAGAAGCGAGGCCCATCCGACTGTGGGTTCAGATGGCCCAACCACCCCGCCACAGACTTTCTGATTGGACACCAGACTTTCTGACTCGAGCGGGGGCCATTCAGCCCTTCCCTGGCAGCTTTCCTAAAAGCCAGAGAAGAGAACTTTGACTGCCTAACAGCATTGTGGGTACCTGAGGGCAGGCTCTACCCAACCCCAGCTTCAGCCCGACTCACTCCCAGACCACCCCTCCACTGAGGGGAGAAAAGGACACCACCTGGAAAGTCAGGGCCCCCACTGCCACCTGAGGCACTGCAGAGTGGCCTTCTCAGAGAACAACACAGAACTGATACAATACCCAAAAGCAACGTGTAGCTGTTCCTCCAAGCAAGTGCCACCTACCTGAACAGGCGAGGGACATCTCTGCACACACCTTTTCACGGCACGTACTGGGCTCATCATACGGGTGTGGTCAACATCTCACCACAAACCACACCTACCCGCTCCAGAGACTAAACACGGGCGGTGTCAATACCCAAACAAAAACTTAAAGGCAAGAAGGCAAGAACCTGAGCAGATGGGAAAGAAATCAGCCAAGGAACTCGCTCTCTACTGAGACTTTTACAAGCAAGGAGAGACTCGGGCCCCATTTTTCACTCTTCTGAAACAGAACAATGCCCAGCACTAGAAATCTTATTTCCTGCAAAACTAAGTTTTGTATATGAAGGAGAAATAGAATTTTCTCGATAGCAAAGACCTGAGGGGTTCACACAAGATAATGACCAGCCCTGTAAGAATACTCCAAACAGTGTTACCATGGATCAGCACAACTAAACCTCACGAATGTAAATCTTACTTTAAAGCTAAAGATCAAAGCCAGATTTCCACATGGCTCAGAGGAGAAAACAAAGCAAACAACGTTCAACCACACATCATGAACAGAAATCTGCACCTACCTATCAGTTATCTCAATAAATGTGAATGGCCTTGAATCCCACTCAGGAAACACAGGCTTGGCCGAATGGGATAAAAAAACCACAAGCCAAGTATCGCGTGCCTCGGGAACACACATCCAAGCTGAAAGCGGATGCAGTTAGAGCTAAAGGTAAAGGGGTGGGAAGAACAATATTTTCAAGCAAATGGACCACAGAGCTGATGTGGCGGGATGATTACAGATAACTTAGTTTAATCAAAAAAGTAATAAAAACAAGAAAGGTCCACTGTATACATGGGGAAGAGTACAGTTACACAAGGAAGACATAACACATCTAAATATCATGCACACAACTTGGTCACCCAGATTCATAAAGGCAAACTACTTGATGCTAAAAATGGATTAAACAACACCACCTAACAAGTCCGAAGACTTTAACACCCCATGACAGCACAGGACAGATCCTCAAACAGAAATAAACAAAAGAAATAACTGACTAACAGAAACTCTTAAGACAACAATGGGGCCTGCTGACATTATATAGGACATTTCTACCCACCAAAATACTGAATATCACTTTCCTTCTTCATCAGTGTCAGGTGGGATCATTCTCTAAGAATTGACCATAGTCTAGGACACAAAGACGTTCAAACAATTCAACAAAAAACAGAAATTATACCATGTATCTTTTCAGACCACAAATGGAACTAAATGTTAGAAATCAATCACTCAAAGAGGTTCTATTCTTACACAGAAGGTGAGTGAACTAAAAACCTGTATGCTCAATGATCATTCATAAATGCAAACAATCAATATGGAGAATCAAGATTTTTGACTAAATGACAAAAGTTAACAACCTTATGGGAATAGCTAAAGTAGTCCCGAGGAGGAAGTTTGATTTCCATAAATGGCTCCATCCAACAGTCGGACAAAGATTACACAATCAGGACAACCTATGAAATCATCTCGGAAGAGCTGGAAAAAGAACCAGACAACCCAAACCCAGGCAAAGAAATGAAATCATGGAGATCAAATCAGAACCTACATGAATGACAACAGGGAAACTATACGCGAGCAGATTAATAAACAAAGAAGTTGGTTCTTTGAAAACAATAAAAAAATTGACAACGTCCATTGGGCTAGACTAATAAAGCAGGAAAAGAAAAATCTCTAAAAAGCTCCATCGGAAAATAGAAGGAGACATTTACACAACTGAGCACGGAGATACAAACATTAATCTTTAGAAATATATCAAAAACTTCTAATGTAGCAACAAATGAAGAACAGTGTAAGAAAATGGACAATTTCTTGAAACAAAGCCTCCCTAGCTCACAGGAACGAAATAGATTCCTGACAGACCAAATCAAGTACTGGAAATTGAAACGCAATTAAAAAAACTCTCTAAAAAGAAAGCTCCTGGGACCAGATGGCTTCAACCAATATCTACCCCTACAAGAGGGCAACCCTGTGCCTATCTAAGGAATTTATCCACAACATCGAGAAGGGATGGCAATCTCTCCAACACATTATTATGAAGCAAAACCCATAACCCTCGTACAAAACAGGAAAGGATGCACAAAAATAAGGGAAACTACCAGACAATATCCTTCATAAATATAGATGCAAAATTTCAATAAACATCCTAGCAAGTCGGAATCCGGTAGCTTGTCAAGAAAGTAATCATCACACCAGTGGACTTCATCCAGGGAATGGCAGGGATGTTCAATATACGCAAATCTATATAATGTATTCCACCATATAACAGAAGGCAAAACACAGACATATGATCCTCTCAATAGACGCAGAGAAAGCATTTGACAAATCAACACCCTTTTATGATAAGAATGCTCAACAAATAGGGCATAGAGGGGTTACCTAAAAATGATACCAGCCCATATATGACAACCACACAACGCAAATACCATACTGAATGGGAAAATTGAAAGCATTCCGAATTAGACTGGAACTAGACAAAGGTTGCCCCACTACTCCTTTATTCAACATAGTGCTGAAGTCCTTTGCTAGAGTAATCAGACAAGAGAGCAGAATTAAGGGTGTCAAAAGGGAGCAGAAGAGATCAACTCTCACTCTTGCTGATGACAATGATATTACTACCTAGAAAACCCAAGGATCCAACCAAGAGACTCCTTGAATTGATAAATGAATTTGGTAAAGTCTCAGGTACAAAATCAATACACAGAAATCAGAGGCATTCATATACGCGAACAACAGTAAAGTAAGAACCAATCAAAGCTCAATTCCTTCAAAATTAGCACAAAGAAAACAAAGCACCTATGGAATTATATTTAACTAAGGAGGTAAAAGACGCTCTAAAGGGACACATATGAAACACTGAAGAAAAGAAACAGCAGAGGATGTAAAGAGGTGGAGGAAGATTATCCCATGCTCCATGGGGTCCGGCAGAATCCACATTTTTTAAATGTCTATACTACCCAAAGTGACCTTACAGAGTCAATGCAAATCCTATTAAAATACCATCTCATTTTTCACAGATCATAGAAAAAATAATTTTTACACTTCGTATGGAACCAGAGAAGACCTCCGTAATGCAAAATCATCGCTGACAATAAAACACAAAATAGGAGGTATCAA